CTCATGAATGGGCTTGCCATATCACCCCCTTAAGGAGGGAGCATCACATTGGTGGAGTGCACATTCCGAAAGATCACCATTGGATATGGCACGGCCCCGTGTGACACCAGACCGCCACGTATCTCATGTTGTATCTCTTGGTCCGGACCTATTGCTGCTGCATGCGAGTAGAGACATGTGGATACGTGCGGTGGGTTACTATCATCGAATATCACTTACGAGTGGCCCGCGACCGTGTTTGAAACACTCGTCGCACCGTGCCTCAGATCCCGTCGCAACATAACCCCTGGATTGCACCATCTGGTCTGCAAACCAGGTTTATTGCTTACTAAAAATCAGATGTCTGACTGAATGCCATGGATCGAAGGCCTCGGGTGATCTATAGCTTCACGTGAATGGGCCGCTCATGTTGAGGCATGATCGCCCGGGATCATTGAATACCATGACGACTTCAGTTTGCGACGAGCATAATAATGATTGTCTGGCTTGCCAGTCACACCTGGCTTTGCAGTCACGGAGTACATACATCATATGCATCCATGTACACATAACTACCACATACCTCCCCCATACATATGCTGCGCTGAACCCAATTGCCTGAACATGAACGAGCATCCACCGATGCTGGCACAGGTATGCATTTCTTACCTGGTGTCATTATTCGAACTTCTTTGTTGTCTTTTTCGAGAGCATTTTGGTTTCTGTTTCTTTCCAATACCCCCTTTTGATTGGCTGGTATTTCTTTTAATCTATTCGAGTGCCTTTCTGGACTATTGGTGGATTCAGCCGTCATGTTACATAAGGTTCCTTCTGCACCAATTGATCATTTGCCACCTGTGGTACACCGATATGCATTGCATTGATGAAGTACTTTGTAGGATATGGGCGTCGGCCCTGGCTGTAAGGCTGATTGTCCAGGCCAGCTGGCCGGAGCATCCGGGGACTAAGGTCAGCTATGATGCAGCAGGAAGATGCGATGCAGCAGGAAGGTGGAGATGGCGGCCAGTTTTTATGAACGATGCAACGTCAATTGGCCTACGGGGTACGACGCCGGGTTACTCCCCGGCCAGGGAACTGCGGCAGGTGGGCATGTCCGAACCAACAAGAAGAGGTGTAGATAACGCTATGGGAGGGGTTTTTTCCTCGTATCATGGGAGCTTGAGGGGTGATGGCTGGTGAGACAGATCATCCTGATAGACGCGACCGTGTCCAATAGATGGAGATGCTGGGATGCTTGGATGCTGCCTGGATCTGGGGTGAGGAAACCGATCGACAGCGTGGAGATATTGTTGGTTTGATGTAGATGGATGTGGATGGAGTTCTACTGAAGTTAATCTAGAATCTTGTCTACCAGACCCTACCTTAGGAAGTAGAAACAAGATGGAAGAGCACGTACAGTAGTATCTACTTACTCCGTAGTAATACATGGAGTAGGATTGATTGTTTGTCGGAAGAATACTAGCAAGTATCAGGTGAACTCTTTTGAGGCTGGGGAAAAGGGAGAGGACGAGTCCCACCCGTGATTGGCGGAGAAATGGCCTCCGCCCCCCCGGTAGGCGGAGTTGGGATTCCGGGGAAATTCCTCGATTCTTTTCTCCATCGCTAATGATCCATGCCATCTTGACTGCTAGTCTCCAGCTCCAATTCTCCAAGTCTCCTGCTCTCTACCCGCTCTCTTCCTCATCTCGATCTGCTCCCTTTATCGGCTGAATCCCTTCTCATCTCTTCCCGAGCAGATGTCGTTCCTTCTCTCCAGATCTTCTCTACATTGTCTCCTGCTTCCCCCCTCTTCCACACTGTCTTGAAACTTTGTTGATCGGCGTGAAGCCCCTAAATCATTCTGCTGCATTTTGACTCCGACTTTCCGGCTATTAAACGCTAAGCCCCGACGCTGTCTGTCTTTCCGCCGGCGCTCCGTTCTTAGTAGTACTTGACTCTCCCTCCTTGTCTTTCTTGGGCTTGGGGTTGTCTGTCGGTGTACTCGGCTCTGGTGCAGATATCACTTTCCCGAGTTTGGTTGGGGTCCATCAATGCCACATACAGTACATACATACTACATCTATAACCGGTCTTGACTTACTACTGCTGCTACTGCTGCTACTACTACTCCACTGTTATATACTACTACGTCCGCTGTTGATTTTGTTCCGTGATCTCTTCTCCGCGATCGACGGGAGAGTCAACGTGACGTATCTTTTTTCGACATTCAACGGTCGCATCCAAGTATGAGAAGGAGCAGTATACTGCATATGCAATGAGATGATGCAGACAGCCCTTCATCAGCCCATGGGGATGACACTCTTGGCTGATGCCGCTACTTCATCCCTCACGGCTCTCAAAGGCTCTACCACATCTTCTGCTTTTTCTTCGCTAACCGTGCCCCCGGAGCCTGCACGGACGGTTGTCACAGTCTACAGTCCGGGGCAGGAGGCCATCGTTCAAGTGGTTGCGGATATTCTCGGCAAGCCATGGACTACCGAAACCTCCCTATCCCCGTTTGGCCCAGGCAGCAACGCCGTCGTCGTAGGGTTTCTCGCCACGGAAGATTCGATTGCAAGCTTGCAAGTGGATGACCCGGCGTCCTGTATTCTGGTCAATACGCATTGTGTCGACGATGGATCGTTTCCGGATGACGCACTCACCGAGCGCTGCCATTATGAGTTCCTCTACTCTCTGCGCAGTCCCTTCTTTCGCCGCGACCTGACTCGCTTCTTGTCGCTGATCCTGGGTCAGACTCGGCCGCATGAGGACCTGAAAACCAAGAACCGGACCAACTTCATCTCCACGACATTCCCGGATGTGCATGCGGCCCTGCCAAACCTCGACATCCTCTCTGTGGGGTCGGATGCCGTCGAAATCCGCGTGGATCTGCTGGTTGATCCCGAACCACCCCAGGGGGCAGAAGTGTCGGTGCCGAGCCTTCGCTACGTAGGGCAGCAGCTGATGTTGCTTCGGCAGCATACGGAGCTGCCCATTATTTTCACCACCCGGTGCACCAAGGAGAATGGCAAATTCCCCATGGACGACCCGATGCTGTTCTACAAGTATCTGCGGCGGGCGATTCAGTGGGGAGTGGAGTACATTGATGTGGAGCTGTGGCTGCCCGAAGACATCCGGAGACGGCTGTCGGAGGTCAAAGGGAACAGCATCATCATGTCTGCGTTCCACGATTTCTCCGGAGCGTGGAAGTGGACGTCTCCAGAGGCACCCCGGATCTTTGCAGAGAGCGCCAAGTACGCGGACATTGTCAAGATGATTGCCATGGTGACTACGATCGAGGCCAACTACGAACTGGAGTACTTCCGGTCGACGATCAAGGGGACCTACGGGCCCTACCCACTTCTCTCGGCAGTCAACATGGGCCAACTAGGGCAGCTTTCGCGTGCGCTCAACACGGTGTTTTCGCCCATCACGCATCCGCTGCTGCCGATGATTGCCGCGCCCGGCCAGCTGACCGCCGCCGAGATCAACGAGGCCCTCCACATCATGGGACAGCTTCCAAAGCGGGATCTGTACGCGATTGGGTCCTTCCGATCCACGCCGCAGTCGATATTTATGGAGAAATGCTTCAATGAGCTCAGTCTACCGCACACACTGACTTCGATTGACCGGGGTCCCACGGGCTCGATTGAGCGGGTGATCACGCAGCCGAGCTTTGGGGGAGCGTCCGTTCACCCGCCGATCGCCAGTGGGACGAGCAGCATCCCGGCCATCAGCGAAGCAGCGCAGGCGATCGGACTGGTGGATACGATTGTGGCCATGCGGGGCTCTAGCCGGCTACAGCAGCCAGCATCGCCGCAACAGCAGTTGATGGGAGAGAATGCGACCTGGAAGGGAATCCGGGCGACGTTGACGCGGGACTATGTGCCGTCGGCGTACCGGGGACGAGCAGCCATCATCTTAGCGGGGAGCGAGAGCGAAGCGTCGGCGACGATCTTTGCGTTGCGCAGTCTGGGAGTGGGCGCGATCCACACGGTCGGGTTCCGGGCGCGCGGCCCGCTGGCGGAGGGACTGGAGCCGTTTACGTCGATCCAATCGGTGAAGATGGTGGAGCAGCCGTTCGTGATGGTGTCGGCGCTGCCACCAGAGAAGTCGCTGCTGGTGCAGCCGTTGCTGCGGCACTACCGGACGAGTGGACGCACATCGCCGCCGTCGACTCGGGGGAAAGTGTACCTGGACTTGACCAGGGGAGAGCGCACGGGAGATCCGGTGGGGGTAGCCGTGCGAGCCGGCTGGACGGCGTACGGGATTGAAGATGTCGATGCATGGACGACGGTGGAGACGCTGCGACTGCTGGTGGGACAGAATGTACCGTTTGATTTTGTACGTATGGCATCGGGACGGGTGTTTTGAATATTCTGATATAGAATTGGAGTAAATCGGTCTGATACTAAATGAATGAACTGTATCCACTCTGAGTAGGGGTATTTGGTGCTGCTACTGCTTTGTAATGGTGTGATGAATGCAGTGTGATCATCCTACAACAGATGATGGATATTAAAAGCAATCACGGCAAGTGAAATAAATTAAATACTAAGAGTGCCGGGCCGGGGCATATGCCGGCTGCAGAATAGCTTCTCTTACTAGACTGGAAAGGTCTGCAGGGTGATAGATTGCGATCGACAGTTTCTGACAAGATGTTCAGCAGTTCACCATATATTCTGGCACTATCCTGGATGGTGATGATGGCTTTTTGAGAAGTGCTGGATTTGCGGACGAGAATCCGTGCTGGAAGCGGGAAAATCCCGAGGAATATTTAACCGACAGAGAGTTGGGTGCTTCATGCATGAATTTAACATTTCACCAACCACTTAACATGATCAGTTAGTAGTAACTGATGCAAGAAAAGAGAAACTCCCCGCATTCGCAGTGTCTAACCAGATCCATCTTAGTCCACCGGCTTCTCCACGTTTGCTTTTGGTTTTAAATCCGGGGTCACTTCGCTTTTCTTCTTTTCCCTCACTTTCTCTCTCTCTCTCTCTCTCTCTCTCTCTCTCTCTCTCTTTCTCTTCTTCGGCTTCGGCTTCTTCTTCCTTGACTATTTCATCCTTTCCTCTCTTCCCCACAACCACTCCTCAACCACAACAGCTTCAACTCCCACGCCATCCTCTTCACCCTCTCCATCCATCCTATGCACAGGCAATGCCATGTCCCGCCCCCAGGTCAGCATCGACCGTCTCACTCCCCGTCGCGTCCATGCCGAACCCCGTGAATCCATGAACTGCAAGTCCTGCAGAAAGCGAAAGGTACTCAGATTATTATCTTTCGTGAGATCACCATCATCTTCTTGATCTGACAAAATTGCCAGATCAAATGTAATCGTCTACGTCCCAGCTGCGAGGCCTGCAAGGTCTTCCAATGTCCATGCATCTATGGTCTGATCCTCTGCCTGCCACGTTAATCCGAACTCTACTCATTCTGGTAGACGCCGTTCCTAAAAAGCGGGGACCCAAAACCGATGTCCTGGAGGCCTTGTTAAAACGTGTTGACGGGCTGGAAAAGCGCCTCCAGGAAGACTCGCCGATTTCCCCGACCTCGGCTACCTCTCCCATCAAATCCTTGGACCAGCAACTGCTGCCGTCCGCCTCGACGCCCTTCCACTTTCCCCCGGCGCCTCATGGCTTCCCCCCACCCCCGCAATCGCAGCCGCAGCAACACCGGCTGCCCGATGCCATGCTGGACAACTACTTTGCTCGGCTGCATGGGAAGCCGTATTGGATTCTGGATGAAACGGCCACACGTCAACGGCATCAGCATGGACAATTAACGGTGCATCTGTCTATGGCGATTTATGCCCTAACCCTAAGGTATTATTATTGTTCCTCGGTCGTGAGATCTGGCTGATGTTGTAGATATACTACGCCGAATCCTCCGCAAGGCAGCCTGGAGTATGCTCGGCAGGCAAGACGGCTGGTCGATATTGACAACCCGTCCATCGAAGGGACCCAGTCTCTGCTATTGCTCTGTCATACCTTTTTCGCCTACGGGTGTGGCAAAACAGCCTACATGGTATTAGGTATGTGCGATGCCAACTGACGCAGACGGGTACTGACTGCTCAGCCAATGCGGTGTCCATGACACTGGCGCTGGACTTGTATCGCGAAGCACCCGCAGCGCTGCCCGCGGCAGAACGTGAGATGCGACGGCGACTGTTCTGGACCGTCTACGCGATGGATCGCTTCCTCACCTGTGGCTCCAAGCGACCGTGTCTTATTGCCGACCATTCCATCGTCCTGCGTCTTCCGGGCAGCGGGTCTGAAACGGGCGAATGGTTTAACCCGGTTGGCCCTAATATTCATTACTCCCCGGACCGTCGCAAAGGCCCTGGTGGCCCGGCTCTTTTAGTCGACATTACGCGCATTTTGGGAGTCACGCATCGCTACCTCGCCGCGGGAGGCGTCAAAGGCGATTCGCATTTTCCCTGGCACGCCCTCTCCAATCTATCCAAGATCCGCCAGGAACTCGACCTCTGGGCGGCCGGCACACAAGATCTGTTCGCATCGATCGAAACGCTGTTCGGTCATCCGGAGAGCACGCTGCTGCTTTTGAGCAAGCTCATTTACCACCTCGTGCACTGTCTACTCTATCGGCCCTTCCTTCCCATCGACCTGGTCGAGCTGCGCGGTACCGGACAGCATCAGTCGTGGCAGATCGAGGCGACAACGCTCTGTTTCTCGCATGCCAATGCCATCGCCGAGCTGGTGGAGCTAGCCCGACATGCGCCACGCATCGAGTGGCCCGCCCTGGTGGCATACTGCGTGTGCACGGCTGGCACCGTACACGTACACGGAGTTCACTACCACGGGCGCGAGGGAGAAGTGTTTGCGTCGAGCGCAGACTTTCTCGCGCGCGAGATGCACCAGCTGTCGTGGCTACGGCAGTACTGGGCGGGGGTGCAGCACCAGCGGGAGATGCTGCAAAGTATTTCAGGATGCCATGCCGAGCTGGTGCGGACAATGGCAGCGCGACCGGTGCGATTTGCCCCGGTGTTCCATCTCGAGGACTTCCTGGACCGGTATCCGGGGCTAGCCGTGGATGGGGCGCATTTGCGATTAGTGGACGGGGACGAGTAAGCCACCACCTTTCATTTAATTTATAATGCTGACTTGTTTAGATCACCACTGGACCGACCCGATTTCAACAGACTTATGTACCCGCCTGCATCGACTCTACCTTCCCAAGGCCGAGGATCCATCAGCTTCCAACCATCGCCAACATGGCCACAACCCGAGCTCGCCCTGCCAGAGAGCAGTCTAGGCTTCTCACCAGGAGTGAGCAACTCCCCTGCACCATTCCTCTCCGACCCATTCACTGCACCGACGCCGCCCGCACAGCCCCAATACGCGACGTTTCCGTTTGAAGCCACGCCGGGCGGACCGGCACTGACGCCGGACGCCCCGTCACAGGGCAGCTCCAGCGCCACTGCAACAGGGGCAGCAGGAGCTGCAACAGGCACAGGCGAAGGCGAAAAAGACCCGTTTCTGAGTCTGCTGGAACAGCTAGCAGAGAACGAACATTCGCAAGGCGGACCCAGCGAGCTGGACTTTTTCCTCGGAGAGGGGCTAGACATGGTGATGCCTGAGGTGGAGGTGGAGAATCCGTAAGCCAGATACGAGCCTGGACATGAACCTTAGGGATAAGTAAATACGGAGCGAGGATACCCTGTACATTATAATCAGCCAGCATAGTACATACAAGTAGCTAGCATACTAGTATATAGTTAGGCCATAACGATCACATGACATGACATCATGACACCCCCCCCCCCCCCCCCGGGTCTAACTTTTGCTAAACAAGTTCACATGATACAACATCTCCAACTACTAAAAACAGACACATAATAATTCACCATGTCCTCCCCACTACCATAAAGTACATGGTAGAGAGAGAGAGAGAGAGAGGAAGAGGGAACGGGATGGACCATAAAATCGACACCCTCGCCACCCTCCACAACTGGACCCAAGGCACTCCATCCCTGTATCCTTTCACGGGCATTATCCAACTGTACCTGGCGGAGGAGATCTCGGTAGTGACGGCTGTAGGAGAGACCAGTGCGTTTATGGAGAAGAGGGGGGAGGGAATAGGTAATCCCTATCCTAGCCTATCCTATCATCCTTTTACCTTAAATATTATATACACACCATGATGATGCTAATAACAATCAGATGAATGCGTCCACGACCTATGGGCCAGTATTCTACACGCAGGGAGGTGTCTACCCTGCACAAACATCATGGTGTCATCAGCTACTACTGCTGATAGAAGTATCACGTCCAACGGTAATGGTCATGGTGGTAAGCCGGGAGAAAAGATGATAAAGAAAGAAACTATCGACACAGACATCTCCCATCACCAAACACCCACCCCTTCACAGAAGAAATTGATTGACTTGTTGCACGCGATCAAGAATATGCCGGATGTGCATGTGCATGTTCGTGCGAGGACACAGTCGAGGTATTCTTATTCTGCTGCTTCGCAGGTGGGTGGTGGGAGGGAGAGGGAGAGGTATAGTTCTTATGGTGGTGGTGGTGGTGGTGTCAATGGGGATATTACTGAGAAGAATGGGAATGGGAATGGGAATGAAGAGCATGGGGGAGGGGAAGATGAAGGAGAAAGTACAGAAGAAGAAGAACTGTACCACCCATCCCTAGGTGTATATCTCGATGGGACGGTGAGCGGGTCGCATTATATTCGCCATTTACATGATTCTGTGGCTACACCTGTTCCTCCGCCACCTCCTATACCATCAGAACCAGGAAAGAACACCAATACCAACACACCCCAACCTCAGAATCAAAATCAACCTCAAACTCAACCCCCAGAAAATTCAAGACCCAAACCCCCCAAACCCCCCTCCTCAGCATCCGAATCAACAATCCGACCCACAAAAACCAAAAGTCTAGTATGGGCCTACCTACCACATTTCCGAGACGTGGTAGGATCAATATTTCATGATTTTGGAGATGTGCTTGGGATGCATCTGCACCCTTTTCCACATACACATACACATAAAGAACACCAAAAATGGCACCCCAAAGATCAAGTCATCCTCCACCAAGCATGGCTCAACTTCATCACCTTCCTCGCATTCCTCGCTAGAGAAGGGGTGTTACATTCCCCCAGTGATTCGGATAATTATGAGTATGGGTTTGATGAATATGATTGGGGATATGACCATAACAATAATCTTAATGGGAATGGGTATGGGGAGGAGGATGAAAGCGACGGAGTCGGATCATGGATCGATGATCTTGCGATTTCGTGTCTTCGGAAACTTGAGAACCTTCCACATCAACCTCAGAATCATCACCATGATAAGAATGATAAGAATAATCATCTGCAAAACAACACCCAAATCCTCACAGCAACGACCTTCGCCCTTCTCTACGGTGAACATCTCTGGCGGAGACGTGGGATTCGCACTCCTTCCCATCCCTATCCTCCTTCCCCCCCCTACAAAGAAAAGCCTAAAGAAGAGAAGGATACGGAGAAAGAGAAGGAGAAAGACAAAGAAAAGGATGATTACATAGTAGCAGGTCTCACCCTCGATGAATTCGAATCGGGTTCTGTATCTGCTTCTACGTCTACCTCTGCGGCTAATTCTCCGCCTTTGGCTGTATCACCACCACCAAATGATGGAGATGAAGGTGGTGGGGATATGGGAAGATTCATTACCAGGAAGACCTGGGAAGAATGGATTCGGAGGTTTAATGAACTTGCTGGGGATGTTGGCCCCGGGATCGGGATCGGAATGGGGTTGTGGGATGGGACGAGGGAGGGGGCGTGGTTAGCCGGGGAGGTATTGAGGAGGGTTATTTCTATTTCATAGTAGTAATATTAGTACTAGTACTACTGGTAGTGGTGGTGATGGTGATGGGTAGTTGGTTGAGGGCATGTATATAGTCAAGTTGAGGAGTGTATATAACCATGTAGTGATGTCACTGCAGTAATATAGATCAGATCTATTAACACTGTAATGTAGTATGAACATGTGTGTATGTATGTATTCAATGCTGTACTGTGTATGCTCTAGCATCAAGTCGAGGTTATGAAAACTTCACTCCCTTGCTCGGATCCCACTGTCCCCCAAATCGTATCCCCATCTCCGGTGACCAGATCCCCGGCGTCATCGGTGGCCGCGCATTCGCCCGCGTAGGCTGTGGTGCCGTCATGGGCTCGGGTCTGGGTGCTGCTTGAGGAGCAGTGTACGATGGTTGCTGAACCTGCGCCGGAGGAGCATTATAGGATGGCTGCTGAACCTGTGCCGGAGCATTATATGAAGGCTGCTGAATCTGCGCCGGAGCGTTATAAGATGGCTGCGGCTGAGGCTGCGGTTGCGGCTGCAGTTGTGGCTGGCGCGAGATATTCAGCGACGCCATGGCGGCAGCACTCGAAATGTCCCTATCCCAGTTAGCTAGTTTCTAAAGTCAATTGGTATAAGCTTACCCCTCTAGCTGGCTGGCTTCCATCCGTCGCTTATGTACAAACGCCTTGCTGTCGTCGCGGAACCGTCCTACGATCTTCGCCAGATCGTTGTAGAACTTCCGTCCCACTTCGATGTTCGACAGGATCTCCTTGTACTTCAAATATCCGTTCTCTAGCTCCTGCAACGCCCGCTCGCGCTCCTTGGTCGATGCGTCGCCGGTATGTGCCCGTGTAAACGCCCGGTTGGCTTCCTGCACCCGTGCTGCGATCTCGTCTTGGTCTTGCTGTTCCCGTGTGACCATGTCTAGGTCTGTGTCATACAGATGCAGCTGCTCCTCGAAGAGATCCTCAAACTGGCTGGCCTGGATCGCCTGCATAGGAAACTCGCGCTCAAGCCGTGCCGTCTCCTTGATCAGTGCTTGGCCTACTTCTGTTAGCTCGTCCTACTACAATTGCAGGCCACTTACTGATGTCGTCCGCCCGCGCCTTGTCCTTCAGTGCCTGCGCTTGCCGCTTTCGCCGGCTCTCCAGACGGCTCACTTCGCTCATACATCCCCGCAGTCGGCTCACCTCGCGCTCGACCTCTGGCGGCAGAGCAGCCCACCGGCTGCTAGGGACGTACATCTCCAGATCACGGTTCGTGCCAGTCAACACCCGGAACACTGCCGCGGAGTCTTTCAGCTTCTGCTCAACCAGGTTGTCACTGCTCTGGGCCGACGTAAAGTATCCCTCGATTTCGCGCGACGTCGTGTACAACTTTGGCGCAGCCTCCTCTGACGAAGCTCGAGACCAGCGATCGGTGCCGAATTTCCGGCGCGACGCATCATCTTCCGCTTTTTCAGCCGCCAGAAGCTCTACGCCCTCGTTGTACACAGCCCTGTCGTTGGCCTTGACCGTTGCCGTGTCCTCAAGCGACTTGCGCAGCCGGTTCAGTCCGTCCTGTTGGCGCATCTCTTCTGCATGCGATACTAGTGCCGGGGGAAGTCCAAGCGGCTTCTCCAAAGCCTGCAGCGAGCCTGGAAGGTTCAAAGAAGACAACAGACTAACCGGTTAGCCTTGCATAGTAATAGAGTAGGGCAACTTACTCTCTGAGCTTATCCGTCATATTCTCCAACTCCCCAATGATGTTCTCATTGATCAGTCGATCCCGACGATCCGAGTAGATGCTAGCCGCAATGTGCACTGCATACGGCACCAGCTTAGAGAACAGCGGCTGCCCCAGAGGCCCGTTCTCACCCAACATAGAAATAGCATCAGTCACCTGGGATGGCGCCTTCGCAGCAACCATGGACGCCCGGTCAATCAGCTTCAGCTCCGACTTGGGTGGCACCGGATTAAGGTAAATGATATCATTATCCTTCTCAGCACGCTTCAAATCCTCGGTCACCCTGGTCTTCAATCCCTGGAGATCACCCAGCACAGTCCGGTTAATCCAGCGCGATTCCTTCAACGCCTCATTGACACACGCCTCGCTGTCCCTCAGACGAGCAACCTCCTCACCGTACTTGCGCTTCTCCAAGCAATCCAAAGACTGCCGGTACTGCGCAGCAGCAGCAAAATGATGATGCTTAGCCGTCATATGGTGAATCCACTCAGGACTGATAGCATTCGACTTGACCGCATGATCTCCCGCCTCTGCATAAAAGTCCGAGACCTTAGCCGCCAGCCGAGCAATCGACGCATCCTTCAGCCCGTCCTTGACAGCCTTCTGCCAGAAACATTCCTGAGCCTGCGCCAAAAGCAGCTGCTCCAAGCTCTGCAGTGTCATATCATCCATATCCTCGGGAGGCGACGTCCGCAGATCGGGAAGGATATCCGACCGCAAGTGAGTCAGGACCCCAGCCGCCTGGCAGAAGTAATTGCACGCCTGCTTGAGACCATCCGATGTCGTGCGGTTCACGGAAAATGCCAGCTGCGAGTACAGCGCAGCCAGGTTGAAGATAACGTTCGCAAGCTCGAAGCGGATATTATTCTGCGAAACTGAGACCGGTCAGCCACCATCACCACCCCAATCCCTCATAGATATCACCTACTCGGTCTAGAAGTATTGAATCCAAACGCAGGATACCACGGAAATTCCACCCCAACCTGCACATGTTAACTTTATCCCTCTGCATCATCGATCTACTCACATCCACCGGAAATTTCCCACCCAGCCATTTCAGCTGCGCCGCATAGGTGACCAGTCGACTGACCCCGCTGACATGAGGCTCCTGGACATTGATCGCTTCGTTTCGCAGTCGCTCGATGATCAATAGATCCTCGGCGAACATGTCCGGGCGTTGGTCATATTTGGAGGAGATGTATTGCGTGATGGCATTCGACAGCGTGACGGAGTGCGACCGCCGAAACGGGACCTGAAGGATATTACTGGAGAGAGTTAGCAGTATTCATCATGTATTCTGTAGCAGCAGCACGTACGACGCCATCGTGTCAGTCGAGAGAGCATAGACATGCAGCCAGATCTCCGGAAGTTTTGTTGACGGAAAAGCCCAACCCCACCCGGGCAACGCATGACGTTGTGGGTGCCTGAGGCAGAAGTACGTTACATCCCACTTAAGGCAGTGTCACAATACACCATGTACTTACACCTGCTGCAGCAATGTACATCATCAATTTGTATTTTCGGCTAGTATGTACTATTTACTTCCAGTTGAGCAATATCCTTCCTATCCACCAATGCCCAACCATGTCCTGTTCAATGAGCCAGCTCATATGCTATGCTGTGATGTATTCAATCAACCAGCCACCAATACTTCTGTAGACGTTTCAACCTTCCGGATAGTCAACACTTCTTGGATGTATTCAATCAGCCAGCTCATAAATACTTCCTAGATGTATTCAACCTTCCAGATAGTCAATACCTCAGTAGATGTATCCAGCATTCAGCTCGGTTTTGCTGTTGAGGAACTTAATCATTCAGCTCATCAATCCTGCTCCTGATTTAATCATCGAGATTATCAATTCTTCTGTTCATGTATTCGTAGATGCTCAGGAGAATCATGTTGTTGATGGCGGTACGAATCAAGATGATCGACAAACCCTTGTAGATACTAGACTTCGCCATAGCCGAGGCCGCCTCTCCGACTTCCTTGGACTTGCCAAGCAGCACACTCTGAGCGCGAGTCTTGCGGGTGTCAAGCGGGTAGGTCTATTTCGTTAGCTTTTTCACCCCCAGTCTGTAGAAGGTACACTTACACAAAACCAGGGCATGGTGCTGCAGATTGCACCAGCAATCGCGGGCGCTCCTGTTCCCTTGCCCATTTCTCTTTCCGCAATCTGCTTGACAGTCTCATACACGCCAAAGTACAGGCCGGTACCGACGGTGTCGCGCAGGGCATGAAGATGGAATCCGGTGTACAGTCCGCGGAGCCCATATCTCTTGTAGATCTGTCGGAACGCTTCGGTAGTGCTAAGACGTGGCATGTTACGCAGTGAAGGGTCATTGGGCGCATTGTTAGAGGCCTGGGAACGATGGGACATCAAGACCGAGGTCTGGACTACGTTCTTCGCAAGCTCAAAGGGACCTGTTCTCGTTAGTAGACTTCTGAGTAGGGTATCAACCGCGTCTTACAAGCAACCGGCGAACTGACGAGTCCTGCAAAGAGACCAGCAGCGGTAAAGGTGACCACAGTAGAAACAGTGGGGCTGCTGCCTTCCTGGTCATAGATTTCTAAAGGCGACTCCCCGGTCATTCTCTGGATAAAGTCGGAGACCCTATTCTTGGCAAAGGCGTAGGTGGTAAAGTTCATCACTCTGACCGCCGTAACGCTTGCAAGAGGTGGCAGAGCGCCTGATTTCAACATTGCATTAACATCCGCTGTAAGAATGCTGGGTGAGGTCAACCTACCAGCCACGTAACCACGCGGGCCTTCAGTACGCCACAAATAGCGGATACACTGAGCTACATTTTGAAAGTTGTGTCTGTCAAGGTCAGTACATTTGAAGCAGTAGCAAGCAAATACCCTACTTACGTCTGCATACGGGTTTTGACGTTTTCCAGGGGAGTCTGCAAGCAGCTAGTCAGTTCCTCTTGCTCGACCTCTTGACGCGTAGCGCGTATCACTCACCACTGCGAGCGTAGCGAAGACAGTGGATGACGCCGAGGCTACCTGAGTCTTGTAGCTCTTAAGCAGCTTGTTGCGTGTCGCTTCATCCATCGCCAAAGTGGTTTGCGTCGACCGGGTTAAGGGAGAAGGTTGAGGGGGGGAAGGTGAGAAGGGTGCATGTTCAGAGTGTTTGTCAAGAGTCATTCCTGGAGGTATCCCATCTGTGGCAGATGAAGTGCTCCGTGTTGATCGCTTAGTCGTCGTCGCCGGCGGAGACCGTGAGGGTCAGTGAAGGAGATCGTGAGATGCAGGCTGGGGAACCCTATGGAACGCAAAGCGGTCTCTCAACGTGCGAGCAGACCGTTCAGCGTCCCACAATTGTCCATGAAGCAGGCCTCAGCAAGCCTGGTGATAGCACAGCTGTCCACAACAAGGGAACGTGAACGTTGGCGTATATATGAAATGATCGTGCAAGTTCGTGCAACCGAGGCAGTGACAGCACTCAGCTTCACAAGCAATAGTCAAGCTCAGACGCACTCAACCTGGCCGTGATGGTATGAACAAAAGCTTTGTTCCAGTGCAAGAATGTGCAGACAATCCCTCTTCCACACCCAGGAACTATATCGAGACAAACGACGTCGTCTGAGCTATCTGGACAGGACGCACAGGTCATTAGCCATTTGGTTCTTTCCATCCGCACCAACCCCGCCATCATAGTGGGACCACATTATTCTTTATCCCAGTTACCTCCGTCCGAGCAACATCATAGACCTGGGCTGGATAACTTACCTCCAGAAGACGAACTCGACTGTCGGGAGTGGAAGAAGGGTCAATGAGGCGGGGACAATGGGCCGTGCGGGCGAGAAATCCAGAGTCGAAATGCAAGAAAAGAGGGAGGAGGGAGCGGCGGAGATCATCACGATGGACTACCGAGTTGGTTTTAGGTCCTTATTGGGGAGAAAGTTAAGTTGACTAGTTAAGTTAGTGACCTTTCCAGCTTGTCTGCGGTTTTTCTGACTAAGGCAGGGAATCTTCCCCAAGAATCAGGCCAAACAACAACGAGGCATGTGGCCGGTGCTTCTGGATGCGGTTTAGTGGCAGCCGGGCTGTGACGTCGTCGTGAAAGCATCCAGTGCGACAAACCGAGTATTTTGATACGTTTAGTACGACTTGGACCACCAGAGAGGTCTTGACGGATGTCTCTGCCTGAGGGCAAGCGCGCCTATTACTCGCAACCGATCAAACTGTTCTCCTCTACGAGACATGGTACAGTGTACATTCCAAACCCATTTTGCGCAACCTCAGCTCTGACAAGTGACAAGTGCTCCGGGATGTGTGACTTTTTCCGTATTGGTTCTTTTGTTGCCGAGAATCCACCCTCGAACCTCGAACTGGGGAGCTAAACCCAAAGAGGGAGGCGTGGCAAGGGAGCTTGCGTTCGGACTAAGCCAGTCCGGCGGTTGGAGGTACCCGCTCTGCCTGCCTGACGAGCCACTCACTAGGCGGATGCTCACGGATTGACACTCTCCCTCATGGCCACGCTTGCTGCATAATCCGCAGTCATTGGCTCCTCCCCGGCGGATGGGCAGATGGACGAAGGAGGGCGGGATGCGTCTGGAACTGGATATGGCTGTGGAAGCCAGGTACATCTCTCTGCTTGCCTCCAATCATGGCATTCCGCAGCTCTCCTCTACAGCATTGAGTGTCGGTCCACCTAGACCGGTGCATGCATGTCTTGGTTGACACTAATAGAAGTACTTGGTAACATCAATGCTACGAGTGGTCAGAGTCTTCTGACGGTCCTGACTGGTATACTACTAGTACTGCGCAGTTACAAATAGCAAGCGATTTCACATGCAAAGCGGGCGGGATAAGTCATTTCCCAATGATGGACGTATCCCTTCCTACTTCCTGTGCGTGGCATCTCCTGTTGCTCTTGACCCAATTCTGTAAATACTTTAAGGCAGGAAATCAAGCTCCAACAACATGTGGCCAGAAGAACAGTGGCATACCGCGGTACGAGCGAATTAACGTTCCCAGTCATCTCTGGACAAGTTAAGGGCGACGGTGGACAACCATGGTCTCTCGTGCCAGTGCCACCCATCCTGAGAATGGTGTCGTAATATGGCCAAGTTCGATTGTTCTCGAGCGATTTATTGTGCCAGCACTATTGGCTTAGCGGAAATAAACCTCGTCCTGCTGATGTGTTCCAGCGTTGAGTGGACTAACCATGGGTACATTGTTGGTCAGAACTCATTGTTGATCCACGGGAAGCCTGGATGGATATGCATGGATCAGGATTCGGTCGATCTCAGCATCCCTCAATACCCCACATATGGCAGTAGCTACCGTACTGTCCATACACTGTAGTACACAGTATCCCTTTCGTGGTGCATCAGCAGATAGTTCATGGGCACCGAGTTGTCAGGGATGATGTGTGGATGCCCAGTGCATGTCGGGTTGTCAGTATATACTTTGATGTTGTGCAATGGTGGAGTCCACCCATAGAGGACTGTTCATCAAACAGCACTACTTCCTCCCCTGTCAATTAGAGGAATGCTTACAGAATAATGCTCACTGGCACTCGGAAACTGCATAATTCATTCAGCTCATCCTAGCCTTTGATATCCTCGGGACAGACTCGTTGGTGACTTTGACTCGGCCCGGCTTCACATGGGATGAACATGAAGTGATGATGTGCATCGGCCGATGTCCACATCTTTTACCCCAAAGCTTGGATAGTACTAAGATAAACATCAGGACTACCTGAAGAGATTATCGCCCAGAACTATCGACTCGATTGCATAAGAGCACAATGTAGTGGTTGTGCATGAACAACTGGGGTCAGCTTATCCTCGGGACCTCGGTCGGCACGGTTCCCCGCAGGGGACCTCTCCGCATCCAACGGTCTTCAGTTTATCTCCGCTGCTATCCCCATGTGCTTCAGGGGTTTATTTTAACGTTGCACCCGTATTTTACTTCTATACTCACTGACCAACTATCTATTGACTAATTTCCTGCAAGCTTGCAGCATCTCTCACGACCAAATAACGAAGTATCACGAACTATTACGAGACTCCATCCAACATGGGAAAGAAGCCATCTGGTCCCGCCTACGTCCTTGGCGTGGGGATGAACAAGTTCATCAAACCACGCGGCAAGGTCGATTACCATGAGCTTGGTTTTGAAGCTGGTGTCAAGGCCATGCTGGATGCTCATATCAACTACGACGACGTCGAGCAAGGTGTCGCCTGCTACGTCTACGGTGACAGCACTTGCGGTCAGCGCGTGTTCTATCAGTTCGGTCTGACCCAGATCCCCATTTACAATGTCAACAACAACTGCTCCACTGGATCCACCGGCCTGGCCATGGCTCGCACCTTGGTTTCCCATGGAGCTGCTGATTGTGTCTTGGTCGTCGGTTTTGAGAAGATGAGCCCTGGAAGTCTGCAGTCAGTCTATAATGACCGCGCCAATCCTACTGGATTATTCGGTACCATGATGGCGGAAACTAGGGGAATCACCAATGCTCCTGGTGCTGCACAAATGTTTGGCAATGCTGGACGTGAATACATGGAAAAGTAAGTTGCTTGCGCCGTTTGTTCACATGTACGAGTACTAACAAGGACTAGATACGGCGCCAAGACAGAGGACTTTGCCGAGATTGCTCGCATCAACCACGAGCACTCGAAGCGCAACCCATACTCTCAGTTCCAGGATGAATACACGCTCGAGCAGATTCTCAAGGCGCCCAAGATTCACGAACCTCTCACTAAGCTGCAGTGTTGCCCGACCTCGGATGGAGCTGCCGCCGCTGTCATTGTTTCCCAAGCATTCCTCGATGCACGCCCGCATCTTAAGGATCAGGCCATCCTCATCGCGGGCCAGCAGCTCGCTTCGGACAACAGCTCGCTCTACAACCGCAGCTCCATTGACTTGATGGGCTTCGGTATGTCCCGCGGGGCATGTCGCGCCGCGACCGCAGAAGCGGGCGTCAACGTGAAGGACATCAAGGTCTGCGAGCTGCACGACTGCTTCTCCGCCAACGAGATGATTACCATCGACGCCCTAGAGCTTTCTGATCCCGGAAAGGCCCACGAGATGGTCCGTAAGGGAGACATCACCTACGGAGGCAAGATGGTCATCAACCCGTCAGGCGGTCTCATATCCAAGGGCCACCCGCTGGGCGCCACCGGTCTGGCGCAATGTGCCGAGCTGGTCTGGCATTTGCGCGGCTGGGCCAACAACCGCCTGGTCAATGGAACTGATGCCGCACTCCAGCACAACCTGGGCTTGGGCGGTGCCGTTGTCGTAACGGTGTACAAGCGCGCAGATGGCAAGGTTGCTACACCGGTGCCATCCGACGTTGTTGCTAAGATCTCCGGGCTTGGCTATAACCCGGCCGTGGAGGCCAAGGGCTTCACGGCGGAACAGGCCAAGTCCGTGCAGAGCAAGAACCACAGCGACACGTGGGCATTGGGCGATACGCAGGAGAGGGTTCTCGCACGTTTCTAAGAGGTATAGCTAGCTCTGAGATGATAGTAATGCAGATTGTATATCCCATTCATGCACACAACATATAATGCAGTGCCCAGTACCACAGCTTGTTGTAGCATCCCAAGTATACCCCGATTGTACAACCTCCCAAAAACACCATCCAAGTCCAATACAACCAGGACATCCCAGCTAAGCAAAAAACACCCACAAAGTCACACACATACACACGCCTCCCCCTCCATCCAATATTCCATCCCAACCCGCCGCAATAATACTCATTGATAAACCCGATGGCTGGGGGTGGGGCCTACAGCACCAGCTTACTAAGCACCTCACTCCACCGCCCGAGATAAAATAAATTTTCGCGAAATCTCCTTTTTCTCCCTTTTTCTTCTTTTTTTTTCCTCTTCAAGGTCTCCAACATACCCTTGTTGATGGATAAACTCTCCATTCCACTAGCAAATTTTAGCTTCGAGACCGAGAGTGATATTTCATGCTCGTTCTAATCCCATTGCCTGACAACTGTTCACGGGGTCGTTTGGGTTCGCTTTGAGCATACACCATTTTACTATTATTATTCATATATTGATTGTCTATCCTTTTGGGGATGGATGGTTACTATACTATCGTTGATTGGAAATGATTGGCGAAGGAAGAAAATGAGCTTCCTGAGCTAGTGATGTTCTTTCACTGTTGCTCAAACCTGATGAAATGTTGAACTAACTATAGGTTTTTATATCATTATAACATGGAAGATTAATGAGTGAGGAATGGAAGGTTGGAAGGATGGAAGGAGGAAGGAGTCGGCACATTCGAAGCCTTGTCCGTCGTATCCCCATGATTCGTCGAGGTCAAAATCGTGCCAAGAGTGATCGGATTCTTTGGACAAAACATACGTCCTTAAATCTCTCCCTCGTGTTGCGACCGCCTGTTTATTGTATGGGGTGGTACGTGTCAAAGTAGGGAGGTACATAACTATCCTTTCGATTTGGATTGGTTATGCGTAGTGACAATTTAGATCAATTGAAAAGATATCAAGAGCAAAAATCACGCCTTACAATCTCCTTTTTGTTTCAAGTAATTCAGTTCACATTCTGCTATAACTTAAGAACATAAGAAAATATGATTGCATGCATGCATGCATATATGGGAAACATCATCATCATCATCATCCTCCAACTGACCGACAGCTTGTGCAGCGAGAATGTTTACATGAAAGGCACTCGCTGGCTTCGGCTTCTGCATTCCGTGATTCTCCACATCGACAACATACCCACCAAAGAAGTTTCCAAGATTGGGATTCCGAAGTGCTGGGTTCTGCTGTCTCGAACCCCATCCGATCAGCATCTCTCCACGGTTGCCTCTGGAACCGTCCTGGTACATTCCCATAGGCGCGACCATCAGAACTGTCTTCTGCATTGTCCGCCCGCCAATGCCAACGCAATGCAAGTAGTGCCAGTTTCTCTAGATGTTTGGCAACGTGACTCTCCCAGCTTGTGTCGGAAGTTGTGCTCAGTGTGCATAAGGGACACCCTAGGACCCCAATAGTACCCGACTGTGTGAGATGAAGTTGACAGTGTGCGAACCATTCTTGCCGTGATTCATACAGACGAAAAGGTGATGAGCAGTCTGGGAAGACACAGACATATGGCATGATGTCGTTGAGGACATGCTGGGCCCAAGAATGTTCACTGCAATCGACCCAGACCATGAAGAAGCAATAGGGACATTCATACCTTTCCTCCACTATCTGACAAGGAAAGAAAACCATTGCTTCATCACCTTCTTGTTCAAGAAGCGCTGCACGCGAGCCATTGGAGTTCCTCAATTCCACTAGCTCCCCAAGCTGTAACATGTCCCGTTTGACAAATTCTGGTGTGTCAGGCTCGCCTTCCTCGACTTTGTCTTGTCCTATAGCGAAGTTTGAATGGCATTTTCTCCTATACTGCAGCATTTCCCGGCGCAGTGATATCGCTGTTGCAAGGTTATCGACGATCCAAGGATTTGCCAAAGGGTAACTATCCAAAACAAGGTATCTATCAAATTCAGTTGGCAGCGCGCCAGACTTCTTGATCCCTAGAACAAAACGGTTTCTGGCAGGTTGACGAATTGCGGGTGCAATACGGAAGAGACAGTCCACTGTATTATGCACAGCGTGATAGATTGATTGGAGTTCTGTCTGGGACTCTGTCTGGGACTCTGTCTGGAGCTTTTCGTTCATATCAGAATCTGGAAGCTTCCCATCAGCTGAACCAGGATTTGCTATCTCCAGCAAACTTTCACAGTTCCTTTGAAGCTGTTCTAGAAGGCTGGAGATCTGATCCTTGAGGTGAGATGAGTCGCGCAGTCTGTAGTCCAACGACAATGAACCGCGTTCATCGGCACCAACATCGGCAGCCCAAACTCGCAACCGCCCTACTTCATCTTCCCAGAGAGACACGGGGACCTGATCATTGGACAGCCCAAGCTGTACGCCTGAGATCCAGTGCCCCAAGTGTCTGATGATAGCGAATATAGTAGGTGATATTGCCTGAGCCATTTCTGATGCTATGGCGACAAACTGCCTGTCCTGAGTTGAGGGAGGCCACAGTGAAGACTGTTGCAAGCGCCAGCCTGACGTGAGCAGCTCATGTATTACAGAGAGCGGGGTATGAGGGTCATTTGTTGCACTGGTTCAGTCTCAGCCTCGCCTGCTATACAGACTGTCTCTTCATCATTGCTGTTCAAAAGTCCGGCACTCCAAAATGGCTACTGGCATCGAAACAGCCGGTGTCGTTCTGGCCCTTCTGCCAGTGCTGGTACACCAGATCGGCAGCTATGTCGAAGGGCTCCAGATGTTAAATCGCCTAAAATGGGGGGTTTACCGGAGCTGGATGGAACGCAACTACACCGCCTTAGAAAATGAAAGGGCAATCTTGCTCAATACACTGCTGATCGCTGTGGACGGAATCACTTACTATGGATTTGGCGATCAGACCAGCGATTCCCCTGCCGAATACTGGAATAGCCCGGAGGTACGGTACCAGCTGAGGCGGAAGCTTGGAGATACTATTTATGGCCAATTCACGAACACATTGGAAGTGCTACTAGGCCTGCTAGATACGCTAACCGAGAAGTTGGGCTTGAGTGTTGACAGAACTGGAAGAAGTGTTGTGAGTGGAACAAGCATCTTCATAAGGTTTCCAAGCCGCTGACCAAGTTCACGTGCCTGCCAGGTAACCAACATTACCTGCCCCAAAAAAATCAAAAAACAGCTCAAGAAAATCCGACATCTCTCCCTACACACCGTTTACGATGACCTGATCAAACAGATCGCGTATTACAGCGGCCATCTACGGACCTTCGTGGCGCAATGCAATCAGATTCGGGAAATAAATGCAAGAAGGACCGTATTCCAAGAAACGCTACGGCAACACCAAATAGACCGTCAATTAGCAAGCAGCCTGCATAATGCGATCATTAACGGGAATTATTGGCCATGTCTTTGCAAGCCTCAGCACAGACTTTACTTTATGTTTGACTTCTCGAACTCCCCATGGACATGTGACCCGTCAAACCCACCGGACCCTAAATCTCCAATGATGAAATTGAAGATGGAGGTCCTGATTTTGGAGAACCCTAATCGCTGGCACGAAGTCGAGGCGAAACCAGATAATCGTAGGTTCCCGCAGGAACTGTGTCGTGATAGCCATACTACATCAAGCCAGCAAGGGCTATCAATTGATGGAAACATACCCAACATCAGCTTCCCCCAAGGAATTGCAAGTACCGAACAAGGAACCGTCATTGGAGCCCAAGACCTGCCGGCCGCAGTTCAGATCACCAATATGTGCGTTTCACTGTCAGCCGTCGGTATCAACGAGAGCAATGAGATGCTTCTCGGGTACGTGACAGACACAATGCACAGACTTAATATTTACCATCTGCGAAGCAATGCAGAGAGCGTACGGAACATACATTCAAAATCTCTTGAAGAGCTATTTGCAACACTGTCCTCCTCGCCTTCTGATACTACTGTCCAAGAAACCTTTACGGTTCAAGACCGCTTGAAAATCGCGGTAGATCTTGCATGTGCAGTTCTTCAGTTTCACGGGAGCTGGCTCAAAAGAGAGTGGAGAGCTCGAGACATCTTGGTCTTCAAAGATCCACGCGTCCCAAAACCTGAACCCGTACCCAAACCCGTACCCGTACCCTATGTTGAGTGGGACCTGAATAATGAGCCCAGTCAGGTACAGGCGGGCACACCTTTTATCCATTTGGGGTTCGTACTGGTGGAGCTGTCTCAGTGTCAGACCCTGGAGGCGTTAAAGACAGGGGAAGATCATGATGAAGTGCAGGTTGTGGCTAATCGCAACACGGCGCTCCGCCTTCTACCATTTGTGGAGGCGACAAGCGGGCAAAGCTATCGCCAAGCGACAGAACAATGCTTGAATTGGCCGAATTGTACACTTGACAACGATAATATCTCCAAGGCAGTTCGGTCAATTATTGCGCCTCTAGTGGGATACTGGAGGATGCTCAAAGGGACAGAGCATCCACACTGAGGGAGGTACAGAAGTGAACAAATACTTGAATTCCTTTGGTAAGTATATCCCACTCGACATTGCCACTGCACCATACCAATCGCTAATAGTATAAGCTTTTCTGTGTTTTCTGAAATAGTGAAATAATGCTCTACCAAATTGCACGATCTGTTGTTAACAATTGAATGACCACCTTCTGCATCAGCCCGCTAACAAATCCGGAAGATATGATCAGTAAGGAAGTATGCAAAATAACTTTGGGTTAATGTTTGTAGTTTGGCCCTTGGTTTAAAAACTGTTTCGAACCTCCTGGCAACAACAAGTACGCGACTGTTGCACAACCTCACCTTGATCATTCCACGATGAATTTCTTGCCACAAGGAGAACGCCCTTCATCGAATGCGATCCATCCCAGGCTGATTTGTCTCCCATCATCGAGCAAATAACCATCCTGTCATCGTGAAACAGACGCGTTAGTCTCGCAGCTGCTGTCAAGCATGCAATTTGGATGCACACGCGGCTCTCCTGCAGAACGGTTAGGAGGAGTAAACCATGCCGCGCAATAAACCAAGGATATCAGACAATTGTGTAAGACTCTGTCCCCCGGAATGTGCCCTTCTTGGTGCCGGTTTGCCGATCCACGTACCCATCAAGCTTTCTCCCTCCGCCCTCCTACATGAGGATGCGCCGCCCTGAGCACCCCTTGCGTCCATCAAGGTACACCACGGGATAGCCAGCCAAACAAACACCACCACCGACCAAGCCCTTGGATTCCCCAAATATGGGCCACGCGGATCATCTATGTTTTGAGTCCATCGCGAGTGGGCGCGGTCCCTTCGTTCTCCTCCCAACCAGGGGAATGTCAGACGTACCTGGGAGCCAAGGACAAATATAAAAATGCCCACGAGGTCAGCTCTCCGTAGCACACCAGGCGAGCATTCGGATTCATTTCTGCAGTGGTCTGGTCGTTTTGTCTCATACTTATCCTTCCTCTTCTACTACTACTCTACTTCTATTCGCAATCTTGATCATTTACACTTGGCTATAGATCGATCTACATTCATCTATCACGCCCATCCACACTCTTTATTCATTTATCTCACTTCAATTCTCGATCTCTTCTCCTTTCCACATACCCTAACATCATCACAATGGCCCGTCTCAGCCTTTCCATCTTCGTCCTCTGCCTCTTCCTGGCCCTAATGGTCTCGGCCATGCCCGTCAAGCGCGAGAACTCCAGCGGTAACGAGCTGGACGGCACTCTCGCCGAACAGGTCGCAGAACAATCCCTCGAGGTAATTCATCCCCTCTCTACTCAACTACCCCATATACCTTATCCAGACACTGACGTAACAACCCTATAGTCCGCCAGCGAGATGCTCGACCAAATAACCGGCAAGGACGACGACGACAAGAAGAAGCCCGCCCCCAGCGGCACCACCGACAGCAAGCCCTCTTCCACTGGCACCACGCACTCAACCGAGTCTCAGACTGCCCCTAAGACCGAGGAGAAGGTGGCAAGCACTGAGCCCTCTTCCACTACCCCTACCTCTACTGAGGAGACCCCCTCAACCTCTAGCTCTGCCCCCTCGACCGCCTCCTCCCACGTCGTGAATGACAACCCGCTCTCGAAGATCCCTCTCGTGGGTGACTTGTTGAGCGGTGGTGGGTCTGGCTCTCTTACTGGAGGACTGTTGGGTTAAGTCATTCACCCTCTGAGCATGGGAGAGTAGTGTGCTGTCGTTGTCGCTTTCATGTATGTTTGTTTCTATATGCATACATGCATGTGAGATGGCAATTTGATATTTAGACGGAAAGAAAAGGAAAGAAAAGGAAAGAAAAAGATCTTTGGGATGGACTTAACTGCGTTGAGCTCGTCTTTGTTTACTTTTATTATTTGAAAACAATAGTAATGGCTTAGTGTAGCTATCTAGATGCATTGAATGGAATCAAAATCATCAAACCAAACTAAAACAATTAAGTGTAGGGGACATGCGTTTCGCTAGCTCGTAGTGAATCAAGCACGTGGTTTTGAGGAGGGACTCAGGAGCATTGCTCAGGACGGTGTAGGCTTTATACATGTCTATCTGCCTTACTACTTGGATCCTGAAGCAGCACAATAAGTGGGAAATCAAGATACAGCAAAGAGGGCAATTAGGAAGACGTTGCGCAGGGTATTATATTGAAAAAGAAGAATGGACGTCACGAGGTGATCCATCCGAGCAACAGACTGTTAAAGAAGTAGTAGTCTGCTAGTTATCCAGCAGAATGACATGCAGGGTATCCATCGTAGAGACTTATCACAGAAGAAGGGAGCTCTTGACCAGAAAAGATGAAACAACGTTAATATTCCCGGCAGACAATGAAACAATTAGGAAACGAGCAATAATACCCGGGACAGCACTTCGTTCATCTCCGCACCATTTCGATCAGCCCCAACCACAGACGGTGCCAGAGAGATCCAGTAGGAGTCATCCGTCCCAAGTGGCGCTAGCTAATTTCACTAGACGGTACACACCCGCAGGACTTAGTAGTGTCTGTTGTATGAGTAGGCGAATTGGTCAACCTGGCACGTTGATACGCCCCAGACATTTCGCGTATCCTTAGTAGCCATCCATCCCCAACAACAAACCATTCATCGGGGTCTCTTTCATCTCACTTGATGTTTTTCCTTTTCGAACGGTCACTTTGTAACGAACTGAGTACCTTGATTTCGACATCCCATCATACTCATGCAGAGGAGGTTCATCTGGTAGAAAGACGCATGCAGGATAAGAGAGAACACTCATATGCCACTTGCCAAGGGGATTTTGTCGCGCCGTGGCTTCAGACTCGGTTCGAGACTGTATTTTGTGCAGAGTGGGGTATTTTGCAAGCTATATATCTGTCTATGAGACCAACCGACTGGAAGCTGCAGTGGTGCAAGCGATGTGGTCGTGAAGGGGAAGACAGATGTCAAAGCAAAGAGGGTGTCCTCGGGAAGATCCAATAACACCAGCAGTGAGGGTTTCTCAATCTGCAAGCTGAGGACTCAGAGACGGACACAAGCACTGGATAAGAACCAGACCCTCCAGATGTGTGGTAGGGCGAGAACATATAACCAAGCCGGACAATGGCGCGTGAGGAACTCGGCTTAGCCGACATAGAGTCATCGGAGAAAGGCCTTCGAAAAACCCTCGTGCTCACTCTTGACCACATCGTGTCAAGACCGCAAACCAGATACCAGATGTACGTGCCGCAGTGGTTGTATCCACCTTGTGAGTTCCTCCATGCGCGCGTTTAAGCGCAATGGGTGTCATGTCATCATCCAATTTCGTTCAAACTACCAACAGGGCAGAATATTGAGAGTATTGGTTAAGAGAAAGAGCTAGAAGCATGGAACACGACTCTGACAAGGGCGGTCTAACTCCCTATATCCAATGATAGCACGCAAGATCAGCTTGCGATTTGGTATCAACCTTGCTAAGGAGACCCGGCTTTGCTTGCAAAGCATAGACTAGGATGGTGGAGTCCGAGATGATGTTCCACTTCAGTGACATGTAGTACAAGCAGCCAGGACATTCTTCCATCGTCGAGAGAGTTTGCGTGCGGAAGTGTCTGTGGATTGGAACAATACGATGCGTTTTGCCCTTCTGCCCAAGCGATAGGGATTGGCCATGGTTACCACCGAAGTCTCGTTGGAGGAGGCGGACTTGTTGAATATCCCAGTTTGATCCTGGACGTACTGCTCATGAACGTTTCAAAACGACCTGGTAAGAACCATCTCGCTCCGTCACGATAGATGCCCATTACAAGTCTGGGATTTGGCGTTGAACGGCCGTACAGGAGCGAAGTAGCGGAGTTGGGAGAAAGAAGAGCGCTATGAGATCTCGTAACAGGGGAGGTGGTGGGTAGGAAAGCGATTGATCTAGAAATTTGATAATGCTTTGCTTATGTTGATAAGATCATCTTAAGCTCCGTCCCCAATTGTTATGCGCGACCCAGGGTAGCTGACACAAGAATTCTAATTCTTGGTCTGGAGACGGAAAAGACGTATGAAAGCCGAGCTGTCAGGAAGCTGGTGTTCGATGACTGTTGCGTCTGTGCGAATTGCCACGGATCGATTATCCCGCATGGTGCTTGAGCACGCGTGGAGGCTCCCCAATTTTGTGCCACTTGAGAAGGGAGAGCAGCCTGATATATCAAAGATGGTGACCTTGGACCCTGGTTGCCTTGTGGGGTGGCTTGTACTCCACGGACGCAACAGTATATGGAAGACAGAAGATGGATATCCGTATTGGCAGTCAACAAATTTGCAACCAGATTCCTCAACCGTCTTATTGACGCACTGGCAATTGTTTCCGTTAGTCATTAACTTGCAGCTTCCGAGTAGAGTATACCTTTCTTCTTCATGACCGGTCTGATCCTCACTTGGAACTTGTTCAGCCAGTTTCTGTCGCTGCTTACAACAAAACCTATGAAAAATTGATAAATCAGAGGGAAACCAAGCAATGACTGGAATCTCGGGCTCATTCCCAAAGTATGTTGTGATCATATGCATGCAGACTCGCGCCGCGCACATCACGTTCAACCTCAGTCCACAAGAGGTGCAGGTGGCCTTGTTCGTGGTATATAGCTCCTATCCAGCGGTATGTGACGCTCTGCTCATAATCACGTTCATCGTAATATGTAAAGATGATGTCTGTATGTGACCGAGCCCTACTACCAGGCGCATGGAATCCTTTTTGAACCGCCTTTTATAGCTAATAGATCGGTTCGGTATGTAAATGTGCAAAGTCAGCGGACCACTTCAGCGCTGTATACGTCGTCCTTATGCTCGGTCCCGAAGCTCGTGTTACGACCTGTGTCGTCGTACCTCGAACTAGGTTTCCACTAGTGCAGAGACGAACCTCTTGACTGACAAGCCTTTGATTATATTGCGTCATGAAATCAATGATCTGACGGGACATACCGCATTTTAAATCACTGATGGAGGTTTAAGGGGCTGACTGATAGGTGAACTTTAGCATTGCCATAGATACAGCCTTCCACGTTGACTATCTTTCTTTTCCCCGGACAAGGCTGTATTGTCTCTGGGAATAAAGCCTTTTCCCCCAGTCATAGGCGGAGACAGCGCTGGGATGACAATAGGAGATCTCTAGTTCCCCATATGGGGAGACGACTGCGCTAAACCGACCCGAATCGGCGCTGACTACCCATGAGATAGCTGTTAGCTCCTCATCAGAGTCATTCAGATATCAGGATTGTATGGGTGTGCCGGACCGGAAGGTTGGAGAGGCGTGAGAGCACAATGCGATAGCCTGACAAGAATGTTACCATCTTTTGCTATCAATCATCCCGATCATCCGTCCTTATTCAAGGCTGCGTTCAACCCAACCACTGCATACACCGGTGGAAGGCATACGGGAGGCGAGCGCGATTATGGTCGCTTGTTTTGGGCCCACTCTGAATAGCTATCCTCTTTGTTATGCATAACGATGATTGCGTCGGAAGGGTGAATCTGAACCTTCGGACGACAGCAAATTTCTACCATCAAATATTCTGTTATATCGGCGGGTATGGTAACATGGAACGAAAAACTCAATGTCCAGTATGGTCCATTTCACTGGTGATCTCGCCGTCAATGGCACGTCCGGATAAGGCGTTTGGTTGGAGTGAGATTTCGGTTCGGTCTCACCACTGCCGGTAGAATGGAAGATCTAGTCGGAGTTAAATAGAGACTGCTGAGCCTGATTGTTTTCCCGCTGCTTGAAAAGCCCGGAACAATCATTGGCTCGCTAGGTAACGTCTGCAAACATATGGTTAGTCGGAACATGACAGCAGAAGCTATTCATTCCATAAGAGCACCTACCTTGTTCTCGACGCCAGACCGGTCTGATACAGCACTCCCAAGGTTATGACCATCCAGATGATAAGCAAGGTCGAAGTACAGAGAGTTTTGAAGCCTCGGGCTTTTCCAAATAGATTGCATCTTAGCCGGTGAGCATTTATCTGTAGAGGTTGTACGCTTCATAACAGGCGATGTCCACGATGTTTGACTGATATATAACCAGGGTAGAGTATACCGAAGAAGAGGGGTCGAATCCGGATGCATGTCCCCACTGAAGTCCTTCGTATTCATTTTGTCTAGCGAAGACGCCATGCAAAGGCCAAGGTAGCGACATGCCCGAAAGATGATGGAGGGGGTTGTTTCTGGGCTTGTTATGACTAATGAGTGGATCTGGAACACCTTCGCAGGCGCAGGATTTGGTTTTCGATTCCTTGCATGTGCTGTGCGATGCAGGATCTTTGTAGCTTTGGCTCTTTTGATCGTAAGATGAGTCCCCTGTTTGCGAAGTCTGTTGGAGGGGTTTGGGGTTCCAGCCACTTAATATCAAGGTATTTTGTAAGACTGATTTCGACATGGTTGATGTGATATCGTAGGCTCGGGAGCAGTCACGAAGACTGACCACGAGTCATCCGGTTCTCGTGTGCTCTGGGTTCCTGCTGAGACACGGGCATAGAAGTCCTATGATGGACTATTAATCTTTCTTCGACGGATTGGAGGCGGATGGCTTCGAACATCTCCGTGGCTGCGGATACGGCATCGCCTAAGGCTATCTCCAGATAGCGTGGTGTAGATGATTCGGAGTGTATGGCCACTAAGCGCTTTATCAATGGCTTCTCATGAGACCAACTATCGAGACGACGATTTCTCCGTTATATAGAAGCTGGAAGAGACAGGTACGCGCAGCACGGCTTTTCAGCTAGTAGCGAAGCCTTGGGTTCGTGGGATTTTCGGATGTTCGTTTTACTGATTTGTACACAAAGGGCCTCGCACTCGTAGCCATTGGGACCATGGCATGGAACCCGGGATCGCAGGAGCAAAATGCGATCTGCGACGAGATAGTAAATTCCTGAAATGGAGTTTCATGTGCCGTAAGTGTGCTTTGATGGAATTATAGGTCTTTTGTTCAAGCAAAGGGATCAAGAACGTATGGTACTGACACCAATTCGATGCTGCTTTGGTAGGGTATATACCGTTGTTGAGCGGACATAACCAGAATCAATGGAAGCGGCTGGATCATAGATCAAAAAGCTTATGCGAACGATAATGAGGAGGGCTAAACCATGAACTCTTCGTGCTATATATGCGATGTTTGATGATTTGGCTAAGTGAAGTCAAAGTTGATCGGGCTGGACATATCGGCGGCGCATCGAGGAGGCCTCGGGAACTCCATTCGTAAGTCAAGCTGCGCTAATGAAAAGCAGAGTCACAAGTGAAAGAATAGATGCGGGTCACAGCATGCCGTATTCGTGTGATGCTGGTGTATAGAAGGGGGACAACAACAACAACATGAGATTCTCGAAATAACCCTTTTAGGATGACAACACAAGGGTTAGGGTCCAACCAGAATAGTATCGGGATCGTGGAGAAGCATGTTTCTCCTTTGCTCTTATCGTTGCCCCAGAATGTCAGAAAAATTGGACAAAAAGACTGTTGTTGCGAAGTTGTTGCACGCACTATAGGCTGACAGGTCAGGTCTGTGGCACGTTTCCAGTGACATGAGTGAGGCAATAGTTTGCTTCAGGGACATGAACTGGATAAATCAATAAAAGCTCCCAGAGATTCAGTGCTTCCATCTCCATACACCGATGACCTGGCAAAGGTCTTGTCCGATTGTGTTCAGCGAGAGGGGCCGATTCGATAGTGTATTTGCAGCAGGAAATGAACCGTTGTCGGCAAGATGACATTTGGTGACCCCCTGGTCAATTCCCATCTACTCTGAGAAAGGTCCTCGAAAGGATCCTCTGGGCCTTCTCTTCATTCGCTCTCAGTCAACACGCAGCGCAGCCGCCATGGTTCCCAGGCCTAACAGGAACAGTCCATGAAAATTGGGAATGGCAAGATGCTCGAAACCCTATACCAGGACCTCATTGGGATCCTGCGGGTCACTGAAGGAGAACCGGGTTGTATGAGGATCGCCCCGGCGCAGGGCAACAACTGATCAGGATCGCTCGATTGTCACTGCTACTTGGCCGAAGGTGATAGTAGAGGTGATCGCTCTGCGATTGATATCTTAGACCTACAGAGCCTCGTTAATCGGGCAACCTATGTAAAAGAGAGAGGCCGTGACTTACTGAGCAGGAAGGTCCGGAAATTGTATTGAATACTTTGGATCCTCGAAACTGATGGCTGTCGAACGATGGGCAATGGTGGTTTTGGGAAATCGTTATTGGAAACCATCATGGTGTATATATACTTGATGGCCTCTGAGGATGGGATTCGCATATATTAAGATGTCTGCTTCCTCCAGACTCTCACAAAATTTTGGATACAATCCTCGCCTCATTCAGACATTGATGGAGCCTATACGGACGGTCAATAATTTTGAATGTAAAAACCATTATGTGTCATGTTCTCACCTCTTTAGTAGGTTATATATATGCTTCCAGCATCGTGGGGGATACCAGGCTTCACCGGGCGACAGCATTCAAGAATTTCCTTTCATGGACAAAATAGGGGAATATGGGGTTTCTACAGAGCCCACAATATACGGTCGAAAGATTGGTGCTTCAGCTCCTCAGTCCTGAAGTGGGTACACCATGATACATTGAAGGTCTCTTCTATCTCTTTGAGTGTGCGCTTAGTAGAGAAGATGGGACGTATGAATGACAGCTCCAACTGTCCGCGAGGGGGTTGATATATATATATATATATACGAAAGGGAGAAAGAGAGAGAGAAGAACCCTGGAGATCAAGGAACAAACAAGATGGGCAGAAGAATTGGGATATATAGCTCCCGAAAGTGCATTTCTAGTAAACAGGAGGCAAATAGACATGAGAATGATAATCAGAATCTAGACCGCACAAAGTCAAAGGGCCCAGGGTGAGGCCGCCACTAAGCCCACCGCGCATTATTCCATGTACGCAGCGTTGTTCCACTGTCTTCATGTAGGATTCCAAAGTCGCAACCGGTGGTTGTGGCCCAACGACAAGCCCGCCTACTCAGGTAACATGCCAACTAGGTGCATGCACATCTACAGCCGCCTGGAGGGATATTCTCATCTAATCCTGGCTTGTACCCAGACGGGATGTTGTTTGCGCCTGCGGCCGTCCTGGGGATTTAGCTTTCCGCGCTCATACTTCAATGCAACCTACCAGGATTGCGAACAACGCAGAAAGATGCTTGTCACTTCGTTACTATACTTTCAGCTGGGTTATGAGCTCTTGTTCTGGTTCGCTCGCTGTTGGCCCTCATATAGACCCGTGTAGTACCCAGCATAGTACCAAGCCATCATGAGGTTCTTGAGTCGCTCATCTTGCACTTAGAGAGAGTTAGATTTCTCCACAGCAAACAAGGGTTAGAGCGCATCTTACCTTGGGATAGGGTGGCATGAGGCATAGGAGGTGCTCCTACGGCACTGGGCCCAGCCGTTTGATCAGTGACATGGGCACCCTGTCGAGAGGGCTGTTCCGGCCCTTCCGCAGCCTGAAATGAAGTCAGTCCACTAAATTCATCCCGGCAAACGGAGCAACTCACTTGCGACGGGTTGGCCTGTGACACCTGTTGAGGTTCCGCTGGAGTTGTTGCATTTGCAGCAGTGTCGACGTCGACGTCAGCATCCATGCGGTCGGCGGATTCGTCCAACGGCTGCTCATCTTGCTCCATCTCAGCTTTCTCGGCAGCCTCTGCTTCTCTCAGGACATCTTCAACATTCTCCCCCTTCGCATGGATGCTGTGGTAGAGCTGTTGTTGTTCTGGTCAGCGAGCGGATCACGTGCACGGGAAGGAAGTCCATACTTTGTATTCCTCGACAGCCTCATCCCAGCTCTGGACGAGGGCCGAATCATCCCAGATCTCTTCCTGAGTGAGGGGTTTATTCGCCTTGGCCGATTTCCCCATGACCCCGGTAAGTGCGCGCAAACAAACGGGCGTGTGAGATGGTTGGGTTGCGGAGAAACAAGAGCTTAGAGTTGGAGTCGCGGCGAGGCCCCGTCGGCCGGGCTGGATTGCATTCACCGCTTGGCGCCCGAAAAATTGCGAGCAGAAAAAAAGTTTCCCGCACCTTTGCGATCCTCCGATTGTAGTCCCCCAGGAACCGCCTGCAATTATCCCCAAAGATCCAGGATGGCCCCCGACAAGAAGGACAAGAAGCGCAAGGGTATGTATTGTTACACCGTTTGAGAGATTTTCATTTTCAACCCGTTGGTGCGCCTACTAACGCTGCTCAGCTGCCGCTGCCACTGCCGCCGATTCGCCCGCAAAGAAGACCAAGAAGGTCGAGGCCAAGCCTGCCGAATCCCCCAAGCCTATCCTCAAGAAGGCCAACCAAAAAGAGGCGGCTACAAAGACCGATGGCGCTTCGAAGACCAAGGCCAATGGCCAGCCCGCCAGACAGATCAAACCTCGCAAGCGCGCAGCCGATTTCCTGAGCGACAACGAGAACAGTGAGTCCGAGGCGGAGGTTGCTGAGCCCAAGGTTGCGAAGGAGGAGAAGCCTACCACCAAGAAGTCGAAGAAGGAAGACGGATCAGCTGCTCCCGCGACAAAATCCAAGCCCGCCAAAGCCAACACCAAGGCCAAGAAGGCAGAGCCTGTCGTTGAAGAATCTGAGGAGGAAGACGAGTCCGCCGCCTCGGAGGCTAGCCAGAGTGAGGATGAGGAGGACGACCGCACAGCTGCCCTCATCAGGGGTTTCGAGAGCAGTGGTGACGAGGATGAGTCTGGCGATGAAGGCTTCAACCCCGACCAGCCGGTGCCTCAGATTCCCGACTCAAAGAAGGCCAAGCGCAAGATCTTGAAGAAGCAGAAGGAGAATGCCGGTCACGTTGAGGAGCCTGGAACGGTTTACGTTGGGTAAGTTGACCCATCAGGAAGTTCGCTTGTGACTACTGTTAACACGCTATGCTACAGACGCATTCCCCACGGTTTCTACGAGCACCAGATGCGCGCCTACTTCAGCCAGTTCGGTGAAATCACTCGCCTGCGTCTCTCCCGTAACCGTATCACCGGTCGCTCCAAGCACTATGCCTTCATCGAGTTCGCCCATACCTCTGTCGCTAAGATTGTTGCTGCCACCATGGACAACTACCTCATGTACGGTCACATCCTGAAGTGCAAATACGTGTCCCCCGAACAGCTCCACCCGGAGGTCTGGAAGGGCGCCAACAGACGGTTCAAGCGCACCCCCTGGAACCGCATCGAGAAGAAGCGTCTGGACAAGGGCAAGACGAGAGAGCAGTGGACAGAGCGCATCGAGAGGGAGCAGAAGAGACGCCTTGCCAAGGCTGAGAAGCTCAAGGCTATCATGGGCTACGACCTCGACATTCCCCAACTGAAGAGCGTGGATGAGGTTCCTGTCCAGGAGGCCAAGGCCATCGAGGCCTCTGAGCCCACTGCTGAAGAACCCGCCAAGGCCATTGAGGCTGCCCCGGTTGAGGAACCCAAGGCTGAGAAGCCCGCTGAAGATACCCCTAAGAAGACCAACAAGAAGTCTAAGAAGGCTGCCCAGTCCCCTGCTGTGCAGGAGACTCCCAAGTCGGCAGAGAAGTCTACCCCGAAGAAGACCACCGAAGAAGCTGCTTCCCCAGCCGCCCAGAAGGCCAAGAAGGTCCAGAAGAAGACCAAGGCCAAGTCTAAGGCTTGAGGGGATTGGGGGTTTATATACTACTTTTGTATTTCTTATGGCATTAAACAAGAATTACCCGGAGTTCAATCGATTGTACATGAAAAAAATAGGGACATTATTTTCGCTTCAACAAGCCATTCTTGATCCATAATTCTGTCCAGTAAACGTATACCCAAAAACTCTCACATAATCACCACGTAAATTCTCAGCATGCCTCAGGCACTACTACCCGCAACACCATACATAGTAGAAAACCAAAGTCACATGACACCTACCACGACCCACAGCTCCACTCCCTGACTAATCGGCTATAAAAGAAAACCCACGCACCGAATCCAAATTTCCTCTTCTTTCCCTTTCTCTTCCCAACTCCTCGCTCAAAGAATCGCATTCAAAGCTCACACACAGAGAGCAGTCTTCGCGACTCTCTCTTTCCCCCTCAGCTTTGGGAGAAAGTCCCCGGACATCCTGACTGTCTAAACGTCCTCTTGTAGGGCCCAGTCAGGCAATGCGGAAACGCGCCGCCATAGAAGCAATTCGATAGCGGCTTATACGCCCTATTCCCCTCCCGGTGTTTGTCTCTGTACCCGAACACTTGCTAACACCTTCTGGTGTGGCTTGTGGGTAACAATGGTTGGTGCAGGACAGTGTTGGAGAGGGGGTTTTATTTGGGTTGCCTTTCGTCGTGTTTGGATAGTCATGCGATTGCCCGTCCTATATGTTTCTTCGAACCGACCTCCCACGTCTGAAAATATGTCGGGGAGCGTTAGTCGGGAAATATTTAGGGGGTAACTCAATGGGGCTCATTCTTGAGGCGAGGAGTTCCTTTCTTTTTCTTTTCTTTACGAGTCTGTAGCTTATGGAAAGCGGTGATTGTGGGCCCTTGGTGATTTGGTTCATCTTTTGGCTTCCGTCGCAGATGCTCTGTCGAAGGAGCCGGACTCTACTACTTCTCCTACTTTCCATTTTCATTCTTGATGATGTCTTGATTTTTGTTCGTGTGATGATATACCAATCATAGAGTCAAGCCCTGAAACCCCTACTACGGTATGGGGTCGTTGACGATAAACGATTGTTTTTTTATCTGATGAACAATTACATTTCATACTCATTATTGATACCCTCATCGCATCATTTTTTCATAAGTCGAAAAAAAATATGAATCAATTATCTTCCAAAAGAACCATCTTATTTTTACACATCCAACTCCACGTAGCTCAAAACATCCATGCATCCATTAGCATAGCATAGCATAGCATACACATAACTTCATTGAGTCTTCTTCGCAGCAGGCGCAGCAGCAGCAGCAGCAGTAGCCCTCTGCAACAAAACAGCCGTCACCACCTCCGCCATAGTCGTAATCGCCGTCGCACAAACATTACTCCAAATCTGGATGCTCACCGACCCCATCGGCGCACGGGGGAACGACAGCACCCACGCCACGTAGTAAGGAAGCCAGCCCTCCGGCAGATGGAAGACAGGCGTTTTCGAGTACCAGAACTGCAGGAAGAACTTGAGACCAGATGTACCGAACCAGCGAACGATTTTGACGCCCCAGTCGAAGGAGGTTTTCTGCGAACTAAGTTGTTTGTCTGTTGAACCCGCCATTGTTAGCTCTTTGCCTCTTGAACCATCCAGTTCCCCAACCCCAAAACCAATATATGTAGACCGCAACTGTGATCGGAAATCAAACGTACTTATCGCCTCATATTCCTCCATAGTCTTATCATGCTTCCGTCGGAGTTTCGCCCATTTCGCAAACTCATCCTGTGAGCTGGTGTTGTTCATGTCCCGCTTCAGCTGGACAACCTCGCGCTTAAGTCGGTTTTGTTCCTTGTATTTCTTCGACGTGGAGGTCGGGACCTTTAGGTAGAGGAGCCATAGCTATTAAAAGCGTATTAGCTTTACTTCAACTCTGGCATTTGGTGGGCGAGAGAACAGCCCAAGATATGACAGCTAAACGGCCGCCACCACCCAGCAAGCTCCGAGACAAAACATACCAGATTATCAATCGTGCTAGCGCCAATGGTATTAACCAAATAGATGGCGACATGGACGAAGAAGACCGACCACAAAAGCGACAACATGATGGGCTAGACGTCGGCTGCGATCAATTGATGGAGGGGAGGAGGGAGGGAGGGAGGGAGGGAAAGAGAACAAGGAATAGATCGAGGTTCCCGGAGATGTGGGCGGAAAAGAGACCACGAAGCCCAACCGACTTGCGCGGAGAGTGGTGCGTGCGACCTGCCTCAGACAAGCAAGTTTCCTGAAGGCAGCTCGAGAAAGATTTACACAATGAGCGAGCAGACAAAGAGAGGGAAAGGCTGAGGCTGAAAGAGAAATGACATCCATGAATGAATGGAGTGAGAACAGCAAATGACGTTGTCACGTTTGTTTCCCGCCCGTCGGCCGCGGCGCGGCAACTTTCATTTCCCCCCGAGCTTTAAACCATGTCCCTTTCCAACATTAACATAACGTCCGCTATTACTACGATTCGTACGCCATGCTGCAAGGCGGGTGATTCTCAATGTCTACTCCTCCGGACGGAAATGCGGCTTACAATGAACTCGCTCGAATATTCTCCGCTAGACGCAAGGATAGCAATGTCCTAGAGATCGAGATACTCCCGCCTGGTCTTGGTCCACTGCTACAGGATGGAAACTCGGTCGGAATTTCGAAGAAATACCTGGTCCAGGCTTTCGTAACGGCTAGAAGAATATTCTTCGACGCTTCAAACGAGCCGTTTGATTTTTCCGATGCCAGTGACCATGAAGACGAGCGCAAAGCTTCGGACAACGAATCCCTGCTACAGAAACGAAGAGACGATGTGCTAAATGCCAGCGAAGTCATCCTCCTCTTCGATTGCGAACACCTGACGGCATGCAGCTGGCGCAAACGACGTCTGGCTGCCCTAAGTCAGCGCGCTGGCTCGGCGGACGCCGGCTATACTTGTCGGGACATGCTCACTCGTGAATTGGACACGGAGATGTCTCTATTGACCACCTACATTTGCTCTCCACTGCATCGTCATACGAAATCTCCGACATTGTATAACCACCGACTATGGGTATTGAGGCAGATGCTTTTTGACGGCAGTGAAAGGTTGACAAGGCGAGAAGATGACAGGGAGACCGTGTCAAACCAGGAGGTGCTAAAGAAGGAACTTTCCGTTGTTCTCCGATCCGGAGAGCTACACCCAAAGAATTACTACGGATTCACTTATATAAGACAGCTTCTCGACATTTTATCGAGCTGTGATGATGATCAAGGGGACGTTTCTGCGCGTCTAGCTGCCTTGCTCATACCAGAAGTGCTGGACTGGTGTATCGCACACCCCAGTGACATTTCCGGCTGGATGTTCACTTTGCGCCTACTAGACTGGGCCCGTGATGAAAAGACCAAAGCAGACAGTATTGACAGGGTATTGCGTTTCGCATTGAATGTTGGTTGGGAAGGCGAGAGCATCTGGACGTTTGTGGATTTGGCGACAAAGATGATAGGCGTAGGAGCCTCAGAAAAGGCCCAATGCAGGA